AAAATGGAAAATGAAGAAATTTAGCGAAAAAATGATGAAGAATTTTTTTTTTGAAAACCTCTATTACCCACCCACACATGTATATACTGGTATGCGGGGCAAAAGGGTCAAAAAATGTTTCTACGGGTATAAAAACGGCTAGTGACAGTAAAGTCAATGCGCCACGTCATCATCCACTAACAGATTCGAAACGGAGGGGCCATTTTGTCACGTTTTGTAGTCCAGGGGGGTGTTTGCGACAGACCCCATAGTTCCGGGGTGCAAGCTGTAGTTTCCCCCTTAATATTGGGCAGGGTCCGTGTTCCATTTGTTACTTTAGGGGGGTTAGTGTTTCCACCCTTATAGTTTAAGGGTGCAAACTGTATTTATCCTTTAATATTTTATAGAAATCGGCAAATGTCATAAATTAAGGGGGAAACTACAGTTTGCACCCCTGAACTATGGGGTCTGTCGCAAACACCCCCCTGGACTACAAAACGTGACAAAATGGCCCCTCCGTTTCGAATCTGTTAGTGGATGATGACGTGGCGCATTGACTTTACTGTTACTAGCCGTTTTTATACCCGTTGGAACATTTTTTGACCCTTTTGCCCCTCATACTAGTATATATATGTTTGTGTGGGTTATAGAGGTTTTCAAAAAAAAAATTCTTCATCATTTTTTCTCTAAATTTCTTCATTTTCCATTTTTTCCCTTCTTTTTTCCTTCTTATAAAGCACGTTAATATCCCTTTATTTTGTTAAATATTGAAAAACAATTCTCTAAATTTCTTCATTTTCCATTTTTCCCCTTCTTTTTTCCTTCTTATAAAGCACGTTAATATTCCTTTTTTTTGTTAAATATTGAAAACTGTCGAGTAATAGCTCAAATTCACAAGATTATTGTCATTCATGTCACAAATCACGACACTATTTGGCTCTGTATAGCTTTTGTCTATGTGCATACACCTTCACTTCTTTTCTCACCAGCTTTCTGAATGATTTAATAGACATAGAGGGGTCTTCAAGAAAATGTTCCAAGTACTGCTCTGCAAGGTAAGTGGAGTTGGCACTCTTGTTCCTAAATGCTCTAGGACACCTATGAGGTTCACCTTTAATTGTCTTCACCTGAAATGCTGTGGACTTACCATGTAAGCTAGCATGTATCCTCCACCCACATTTATTCTTACAAGATGCAGTCACCCTTTTTCTCTCATTTTTTTCAAATTTCAGTTCAAATCCTCTCACAATTGAAAACTGCCTCAAAGCTTTCCTAAATATAGAAGAATTGGCAAACACAAGGCCCACTGCAAGTTCTGGATTTTTCATTTCAGACCCCTCATCAAACTCTGGAAATTTTAGGCCTGTGTTTTCACAATCTGAGTCACTAGGTTCTGTGAGGATTTCTGGATCACTTTGAATATCTTTTTCTCCTGTAACAAATGCTTTTTCAACTTCAGCATATGATACTGGATGTGAAATATTTGTTTCTGCATCATGGTCTCCTATAGGATCACAACTATCACTCAATGTATCACCCTCAGCAAAGAACTCAAAGTCAGACAAACCATCTTCACTTTCACTATCAGTACTTGCATCATAATCAGGATCAGTTTCACTCTCAAGCTCATCTCTCTCTGAGTTATCCTCATTATCAGCCTCTGTGATTTCTGGATCAATTTCTATGGTGTCGACATCTAGAAATAAATCAATCTCATGCACACATGCAGAAGCATACAATCTAAACATTTCCATCACAACAATATCACTATCAAGCAGCTTCAATTCAACTTTAGCAGGCATTATAAACCAAACAACAGTAGTTGCAGGGTATCCCATTTCTTTAACTAAGTCAATTATCTCGAAATATGACATCAAATCTGGGTCAACATCTTTAACAATGTGTACCTTGCCTCTGATATACCTACCCCATTCACCACCAAAACTCCCCCCGTAGTTAATCCTAAGTGTATACAGCTGATCACCCAACATATTTTCCTAAATAAAAGAAAAAATAATCAATTAATCAAATGCACATAAGTTGCACAAACAAAAAAAACCCCAAAATTAAATCTCATTACCAAAAGAAAGCAAAACCCCATGAAAAGTCACAATATTTATGAAAATTGCTCTGGAAAATAGTAAATTACCAACAAAAAATCCAAAAAATAAATCTTAAGACCAAATCAAATTAATTCCCCAAAAAATCGAAAAAGATTTTTGCAAAACCCTAATTTTCTCAAAATACCAATTTAACATCGAAATGGACAAAATAAACCCCAATTTAACATCGAAATGGACAAAATAAACACCATAAAACACAAGAATTTTGTTTTAAAACAAACCCATGAC